ACTTTAAACTACCACATTGGTGCAATGTATTGCCAGTGAGAATGTAGCCCAGTATTCAAGACTTCTGAGACAGGTTTTTTCCCCATTGGTGGATCACTGGAATCAAGATCTGAATTGTTTCTCCTAGGAACTTCCAAAGCTACTGGGTTGCTTGAAGCTTAATGCCAGGCTTCTCCTTGAAGAAGGTATTAAGTTTGGCTCTCAGGCCTCAATCTAGTGAACATTTTTTGGTGCTTGACAGGATCAAGTCCTCTGGGGACTCCAAGGACTTATGAAGTTGTAATAAAACGTGTCTTCTGGCATTGGTAAAGGTTTTTTTACTTCCTAAGGAAAAATAAACAATCAAACAAGTAAGTAGGTATAATACCTCTCATAAGTTTGTCATCAGTCTGCTACCCTCAGAGGACAAGGGCAGCTCTGCCTACCTGCGCTGATGAGGGATTTGATTGACGTATGTTCTGCTTCTTCTTCATGTTGTATTTTGCCTATTGGGTTTCCTTGACTAATAGTCACGAAAAATCTGACTTTTTATTTTAAAAAAAAAAAAAGAGAGAGAAAACCAAAATGCTTCGTTTTAAGGCATGAAAAAGAAGAAAAAGGTCAGGGACTTTTGCATCATATAATTATTTCATTGTTTAAATCTTTATATAATAGCAATTATTTGTTCCATAATTAATGAGAGACTTGAAAGAGTAGTTTTCAACATAGAGTAGCATGTCATCTCCACCAGATATTTTTCTGTCTGTCTTTCATTTTCAAATCTCACTCCCCTGCTTGAGGTCTGGATAAATGGACTTTGTTTATTAAATCTCATTATTTTACAGCAAGGTAAATGATAGCCACATCTAGATTCTGGTAGCAGCTGTAATGCTACTATCAAGAGAGTACCATATCAGCAGTTTCCCCAGCTACGGGTGCTTAACTAGTGGAATTACAGGTCCCAACATGTCAGAGTATGTGGTAGATGCTTATTTCTTAACATGTGAGCTGTCTTTCAAATGCATGCTGGATTTGGACCTCAGCTTCTTAAATACCATTGGATTTATCAGACAACATTCTGCAAATTCCCTCTACTACTTAGAGCTCTTTTAAAATTTGGCATTAAATCTCCTTTCTTTCAACCTTTTAAAAACTCCTTCTCCACAAATCTCTATAACAGAATTTATTACCTTCCTGTGGTACTCATATGAAAATGCAAGAAGATAGAGACTCTAGGTCAAATTCAATGCTCATTTGTTGTTTTTTTATTATTATTATTTGCCTTTTTTTTTTTAATTGCTTGACATCACTGTTTGTATTCTTTCTGGCTTTGATTTGGAAGGTTGTTTCACGATTTCATTAGGCAGTAGGATCTCTATCACAAGTAAATCACATTGTATTCCAGACCAGCAGCTTTTACTACAGAAGGGGAAGCTTCTGAACTGTTGATCAAGAAATGCACGAGAGAATAGCTGCACCTTCTGATGTGCTTGTTCCGTATTCTGTAGACTAAAGAAAAAAATGCTGGGATGAATAGTGACACCTCAGTCAACCCTCTGATTGTCATTAGAGCCATTTATTTACACTCATCATCATCATCATAAGAACTCCTGAAATGTTTTTAAATTCTTTTGGGTGAATTATAGATGAAGGAATACTTTTGCAGTTGTACCAATTTATCACTAATTTACTAATCACCAAATGTAAGTAATAACTCAAATTATGAATATCAAGTGCAGCTAGTACTAAAAAGTACCTGTGTTCCATAATAAATTCTAAGTCTCATTGCCATCTCTGCTAGGCTTCATCAAATCATATGCTTGATTTCTTTGGGCTGAATGAAAGCCTTTCTGATTACCTATTGTGCTGAAAGCTTAAATAAACTGTCATTTGCTTCTTTTCCTCTACTGACCATTGTACAGAGACAGTCATTTAAGTGAGAAGGTGGCTAATTTAATCAGACTGAAGAAAGGAACAGTTCTATTCTGGCAATATTTTCTTGTGGAACTCTTTGCTACAAGATACCATTAAGGTCAAGGGTCAATAAGGCTTAAAAACTGATTGAATGCAAACTCTCAGAGTTACATTGGGGTTAAAAGAATATAAACCTTCATGCCTCGAGGCAGATGTCAGCTTTTAACTCATGCAGATTGGGAAGAGATTTCCCTCTAGCCACGTGATTTCAGAGTTCCCAGTGTCTGTATTCTTTCACATTTCTGAAAAATAACTACCTCATCACAGTGAGATTCTGGAGCAGCTGTGTCAGTGCCTGAAAGCAATATAGCAAGTCTGATGCTTACCTATAGCCTCAATTTCAAACACTGAATATTTGAAGAATCTCATGAACTAGTGTTTTTTGATGAGATTATTTTCAATGGTTTTGGCTGTGTAGTGTATATCTTGGCATGTATGCCCTCCAAAAGGCTTTATCCATAAATCTGTGAGAGCAAACAGCATGGTTCCATTTTTTTTGTCTGAAGTCTCTCTCTAAGACTGGACCATCAATTCTGTCACAGTATTTGCTCTTTGGTCACTAGCAGTCATCTTCTTTCAGAGAATCATTCTATTCCTTTCAAACACATTACAATCGATCTAGCTCAAATGATGGCAAATAGTCATTAGTGTCCTATGGAAAGTTCCTGTTCAGCTCCAGCTCCTTTCTGTGATCTATTCTGGTGTGATCTTAGATTCTTTAAGGCAGTTTTTGTGAGATTTCTAATTTTTATGAACCAGGCTCTACTTTTCACCAAAACATGCTGATAGTGCATCTTGGGTTAGGCTATCCATTTATGCAAATGAAAGTTTATGTGCTGAAAACATTGTATCTCTATGTAGTCTCTGTTAAACTAGCAAGAAGTACCTGTGTAAAGCCTGAGAGTAGTCCTGATCCCTAACATGGGCATGGAAGAACATGTGGTGTGTCTTGATGGCGGGTGGAAGAGTCTGTCTGATCAGATAACAAGTATTCTGGTTTTTGCTCAGGTGCAGAGATCAGCTATTGAAGAAGGAGGAGGTGTTGTATTAAGTATATAATGAGAAGGTGTCTATCCTGAGGCAGCAGAAGTTGTCATTGCGCAAGAAGATAATTTTGTGCTGAATCCAGAGCAGGTGTTGATAGAGACTGCTTAGCTGAGCTTTTGGGTGTGAATGTGTTTAATAGTGATGGGCCAGGGTCTCCTGTGAATTCAGTGTTGTCTGTCAGGGTTACAGTGAGGGGCAGTGGTATGTTGCAAAAGGCAGTGTGAGCTGAAGACAGAGTATTTTTATGGTTAAGACAAACCAAATTTCAGTTTTCTGTAATGGAAAATTACCTTGAAAAAACATCTCCTTGTCAAAGTGACAGTGCAGCTGTCCTATTTAAAACAAAACTTGACAAGTTTTATGGCCTGAACTTGTGTGGGATCATTCTCCTCATTGACCCTTCCAGCTAGACCGGGGAGGTCTTAGCTGATGCACTAGCAAGGCAGAGGCTCTTTCTAGAGAGCAGAATCCTGAGCCGATAGTAGGTCCTTCGCAGAGACCAGTAAAACTCTGCCTGAGAGGAAGCACTGATGGGGACACTGAAGGGAGGGTAGGTGCTGGGCTCAGTGAGGCAGGGCTGCCTGAAAAAAAGCAACGTATCCTTTACTACAGGCTTTCTTAGATTAAAAATCCAGCAGACTGCAGTGCTTCTCTCTCAGAAAGGGTGGGGAAAGAATGGCAACACAGCTTGTTTGGGTTCAAGAAGAAGTTTCATCTGAAGGAGATGAGCATATTGGTCAGGCCTCTAAGCAGAGGTGTGGTGATGCAGCAGCTACTGTTTTTGCATGGGCTCTTTTCCCACACTTCCTAATTGTGGTTTCTTCTTCCTCTTGCTTTGTTTGTTGCTTTGGTTTTATTTCTTTCTTCCCGTTTGGTTATTTGCTCTTGCAGAAGGTCAAAGCTTTAAAGGTTATAACAGTACCCATGGAGAGTGTTCAGAAGTGTTTCAGGTTCATGGTATTTCCCCAAGTTACCTAATACAGTACAAAAAAAAAAAAAAAAAAAAAAAAAAAACAACACCATTCCCTTGCATAGGTTGACAGCCAGCCAGTTCCTCTGGGAGAGATGTGTCCCTCCCTTACACTACTGTATTGTTGTCTAATGGTAACAGAAAATTACCCCAAAGGTTCTCTAAATTAAGTAGAGGTTTTAGGAATATGGGAGTTTTCTGGAGAAATCCCAACTAGCCTAAAAAATAAATAACTGAAAGTGTCAGCTGTCTATGCTATCCATCATTTAATGAGCAGCATCTGTATGCATATTTTAAATACTTGCATACCATCAGTAGGATGTAGCCAAAGCAGATGCATTGCAGACGCAGTGTATTGTGACTTTAATCATAATTCCTCTAAATGTAGCAGTGAGTTGTCTGACTCAACCTCTACATACCATTTGAAAATGCAAGCTCCAGTCTTGGAGATACAGCCATAAATGAATATACTTTATTCTTTTGAGCTTCTATTGTGTTAATAGTTAAAGGGGGCTTACTTAAAGGATTATCTGAATCTGCAAACATCCAAAGGGGAAACATTAAATAATATATGAAATGTCAAGTGCAGTGAAATGGCACCTTTAAACAATTTTTAGTCACACATAAATAAATGAGATGTTCCCTCTTGGACAACATCTATGTTCAAAAAATCAACCTGATTCTTTATGTAGAAACATAGATCTCTTTGTCTACAGAGTACTGTATGGTAAAGTATTGCTTTAAGTCTCAGACAGTGTTAATCTTTATTTTGAGCATCAGCTAAAATGTTCAAGCCAGTATTGCAATGTTTATCCAAATGTTTCTGCAATTTTCTTTTTTTCAGCCAAACTCATAATACTTTACAAGTATTGATACCACTTGAAACCCATTTGGTGTCAATTTGTAAATGAATATAACCTCTGCATCTCAGAATTAGATGTTAGTTCCCAATGTTCCTACTGTGAGGGATGTGCAAATTACATCAGGGTGTGTTCTGACACTGCTAACAAAATGTTCTGGTTTTCTGCAGGAAATGCTATTAGACCCATCGCCCTCCGTGCAGTGTCTGCCATAGCCCGTGCTCTCCCAGGATTTCCCATCTTAGCAACTGGAGGCATCGATTCTGCTGAAAGTGGGCTGCAGTTTCTGCACAGTGGGGCTTCTGTTTTACAGGTACCTTTTCTTTCTTTAAAATATAAAAATTAAAATAACTGTAATTAAAACCATAATGTATCTTCCTTTCAAACATTAGGATAGTGAGGGTTTTATACCACTGACAGGAATTCTCATGTTTTTAACTTCATGCTTCTTGCTAAGAGAGATTCATTTCAGATGGAGGAGGAGTTGCCAAAAGAAAACTTTGGGTGTCAGGATACTAATCTGGGAGAAGGCTAGCCATGAGTATGTGATCACTTTTTTTCTCTGACCTATAGGATTTAAACTTTCACCATCTCTCCCTTGTCATACACACAAGGTTGACACAGAGTTAACCTTGAGCTATCTGATCTTCCTTTATTCTCGGGTTTTGTCTTCTGCAAAGAGCCTTTTCAAGGAGAGAGGGATTTCAAAGAGCACTACTTTGGTCCCACTGGGAGCCAGTGTAAAGTAGTTCTTGTTTATCCAGGCATCTGTGTCCCTTAAGCATGTTTATTGGATCAGGAGGTACAGAGCTGTGCCTCCTGCATGAGGTGCTGGCATTGCAGCCCATTGCATTGGAGTGAGGTGTCAGACTGCAGGCAGTAGTTGAGGCTGTTTACATTGCCTGATGGGTTGTTTTGAGGTCCTGGCCAGACTGGCATGGTTAGTTAGTCCCTGTCATGGAAGGAAGCCTTGGTGGCCTGTTATGGGCACCAGGAAATTGGCTGGAAATCAGCCCTTTACCTGCTCTACTAGGCATATCAGGGCACCATTGCAGCATATATGTTAGAATGGCTGATAAGGAGCAGGTGGTGGTTATGTTATATTATTCCATTATATGTTATATTCTGATAACTACTCATCCCCTTTATCTGTAGTTCCCATCATAGACAACAGCAGGTGTGCATCCTGTGGATATCAGCTTTGTGTCACTCCATGGAATGACTGGAGTGGTTTCATTCCCACAATTCACTTTGACATTAAAATTGGAATCAGTGTGACCATCCTTTCTGCATAGCTATGGTGACTGCTGAGATTAGTCATTTCTTTGCTATGTTTCAGAGGAAAAAAAAAAAAAGGCCAACTCAGTGGTTTGGTTTGGTTGGGTTTTTTTTAATGCACATCACAGTTAGCATCTCTGGAAGCAGAAGTAGAAGGCCACTGCTTTTTTATAGACTTACTATGTTCCTTGGATTTATTAATACCATTTCTTTTTTTTTTTTTAGTCTGTATTGGAATGCTTCAAACTCTTCTTTTCCCATGCACAGACAAAAGATCTACCTTTCTTACACAGTGGTCTGAGAGCTTCTTCCATATAAATACTAAGTAACGGTACAAATTACAGAGCAGCATTAGTCTACAAAAAAGTAGGATTGGCAAGGGAATGTTTTTACTGCTATAGATGCATTTCATTTGTTATTGCTAATAGAGCTTCAGTTTTGATGGCTTTGTCTCTAACAATGTTATGTGATCTGAACTACACAGAGTGGAATGATTTTCTGTTCTACGTCTGCTGTATCTGTTTCTGCATGACTAAAAATGAATTATTTAATGTCATTTATGCACTTTTCCTTTATATAGACTGTGTAGCTGTTTATTTTTTATTATTTCTTTTCTTTTTTATTGGTTTGCCCCAGTGATAATGGGAAATTCTGAAATATAATTTAATGCAGACATCCCAGTCAGTGCTCAAGAGAAAGAATATTGGATTTATAAAACATTAATTATTGTTTTCTTTTTAGTAATAATCAAGTTCTCTGGAACTGGCTTCCAGAAGTTACTTGGATCTATACTCGTCTTCTGCCCTTTATAGAATAATTTCTCTTTTCAACAGATTTTTCCCAGAGATGGTGGAAAAACTCTTTTCTTGTCCTTAGGCCTCACCAGTTTAACCTAAATCTTCTCTAGAACTGATTTGAAACTCCTCTGGATCAAACCTATCCTCAGCTTGAGTAGCTTATTTCTGCTTCACTAAAGTAGGGAAGTAATTTAATCTGAGGTAAATGGATTCTAAAGCTGCTGTGTAGGTAAGGGTCTGAACTAGTTCAATTACATTTATTTAAAAATAAGCCTTTAGTAAACTTCATGCAAGATTGTGAGTACAAGCCATAAGTCTTTCCCTCATCTTGGGAAAGGCAAATGGAAGGGAGAGGGAAATGACTAATCTCTGTAGACAGTCTTATAAGACATACAGTTGACCGGGACTAGATTGAAACTTTTATTTGCTGCTTAGGCAAGACATGTTGTGATAGACAGAAGACGACAGCCTCATCTTCATAGGTCATCTTTGGAACGTAATTAGGATTATGAGAATCATCGCCGCTATTTTATTTCTTAACAAGGTCATACGAATAGCTGGCTAATATACTTTCCCCTGAATCCCAATCTCTCTCTCACATGTCCTTGGTATCAAATGCCCAAGTTGTTCCTTCTTCAACAGTCAAAACCTCTGTTGCTCATCGTAACAGCTTTGACAGTTCACTTCAGTACCAAAATACAGAGCAAGTACAGAATTTGGAGATCGCATCAAATAAAGTAACCTACTGAATAGTTCAGTTTATTAAGATTCACTCCATAGCAAGTCCCTGAGTTAAGTAGGGAGATACTGGGACTGTACTGGGGGAATTATATATGCGTCCCATAGCCTTATCTTAAGTATCTGCTTCGGATACTGTTGGAGGTGGTACTGAATAGACACTTGGACTGATACAGTACTGCACTATTTGTTATCTTACTTCATGTTTCCAAAACCACGAGGACACCTTATGACTGATCCAGAGGCAGAAAGCAAGCAGCCCAGGCTTTGGCGGTGCTGGAGTGAGCTCTGTGCTCAGCTGTGCTGAATGAGCAGTGGTCTCAAAACCTAGGAGTGGGTACTGCCACTGCTATCACCACCCTGTTACACAGAATAGAGTGTGGATGTTTCCTCATTAGCAGTATTTTTAAAGGGTAGGGAATGTCAGTTCATCCAGCATTAGACATGGTCTGATATCACTAAGCAGCACAGGTTGTATTGATCCATCCACGGAGCCCAGCTAGAGAACCTGGGAGAGCAGCACTTGCATGGCCATTGGGCTTCCCTTCATTTTACCTAGACAAGGGTCCTGTGTCTTCTCTGCCATGAGAGGGTGACGTTCATGGGCTAAGATAATATGAAGGTTTTGTGTGAGTTGATTTAATTGCAGAGTGGCATATCTCTTAGAGAAGAGGTTTATGAATAATAAATGTACCTCCATTAAAAGCAAGATCAGGTTTTCCTTTGCAGCTATTTCACCTACAATCAGTTCTCCATTATTTTTTCCAATTGCTTTTATTTTTATTTTTAAAATGTGGGTATTTATTTTCCATTTACAAAATCATCATACACAGGAATGCAAGTCAGGAGTCAGGTGGTAAGCTGTATTTTAATATATGCTGTAACCACCTCAAGTGGTATTAAGCAGGTATTTTAGGGAATGGTTTGGGGAGAGAGTTTCAGTATTCAAAGTGTGTTCTATCCCCTCCTTTAAAAGATAGAGGGCAACATCTTAGTGTCATTACTGGCAAAAAGTTTGTGTGTAAGAAAGTTTTGCAGCAGGTATAGAAAACAAACTGGATCATTGTAGTCAGTAGTAGCTGGGGTTAAAATTTTATACAGCAATTTAGCAGACCATTCTTCCACTTTATGGACTTCAGAAACAGTTGCAAAAAGATCCCACTTGGTTTTTAATTTTTCATGAAAAATGCTGAAGCATTTAAATCATTCTTCAGCTCATTCCATAGCACTATACTTTTTTGTAGCATACCGAAATCCACCAATCCCTTTTCAGTACAGGCATGAAATTAAAAAAAATAGCAACTTTATTTGTGGAGATAATCTTGCACTCGTTGCATACCAAAAGCTCCAGAAATGTCTAGCTGCATCTTTCTGAGGTACAGTTCCTTAGTATAGGCTTCCAGTGAGGCTGAAGTTTTTTTTTTTTTTTTAAATAAGCTTTTTTTAAAACCCTGATTTATCAAAATAAGATATCGGATTTTTTTACACCTTTTGCATCATGTGTGTGATTTACCATGTCACAATAATGGTTTGTTAGATTTTTGCAAGGCTTTGAAAGACACATACATTTTTCAAAGTCATCTCTCTGTAGGAAATTAAAAATGGAGACAATTATAGAAAATTCCAGTGGAAAGAGAAAATGCATTATGGAAAAAGCAATAAAAGCATAAAAATATTAAAGTAAAAATCACTTTACAGTAGCCTGTATGATTGAATTGTAGATCAATATTGTGTAGTTAATGCATTAGCAGTAGAGCATTAATTTGCAATTACCGCAGGTGACCTGATCCTCTGTGTTCTGTCCATTGACATAAATGACCTTTTGTTGAAAGAGATTCTGTAGTCATTATTTCTAGCAGATGTAACCAAAAAAACCACAGAACAAAGAGGGTACTTTCTGAAGTATACTTGTTTCATGGTAGAGTCTCTTAACATTGTATTCTGGTATGGAATACTTTTGTTAATCTTGAATATTGGTCATTAATGTGTAAAGAATATGGGTTCCTTTTCAAATAAATTTCTTTTCTTACAAAATATGGAGGTCACACATGTCCCCTGTTGCTCCAACATGGATGTCTGTGAAAGCTCTCTACATAGCAACAATTTAAAATCCACCCTTCCTAGCAGGGCCGCCTGTAGCTTTGCCCCGAGCCCTGTTTCAGACCCACCTTCACCCATCTCCGTCTCCACTTGCCCTGGACGGGAGGTAGCACCTTGTAGTCCTGTTCCTACAGGCACTGTGCTCTTGTCCTCACCATGTCATATTCAGTCCATGCACACCTGCTGCCTCTGGACCTTGCACCATGACCCTCCTCATCTCTCATGCAAGGGAATAAGGTGGGAATATACCCCACCTCAGAGACAGAGCCACCATCATACTGGATCTGCCCTGTGCCCTTCTTTCCTGCCCCACACCAGTTGTGTATGAAACCTCAGGGATCTGAGGAAGAACAAAGCCATTCTGGAAGTATGACAGCCCATGATAGGAAAGCAATAGCAA